CTGAGCAGGCCTTGGGGCCAGACCCCATGCCACGGGCTGGGGATATAGATGTCCATGGCCCGCCCCTGCCACATTCTTAGAAAAAAGCAATCACACCTTATCTCCCCACTAAGATTGCATCCAGTGAGTCCCCCGCTCACCTGAGACTTGAGTGCTGGGAACGACGTCAAGATGGTACAGAATGTGTGTTTGTTCCTGAGAAAAGCACCTACTGCGCCAGCATGGCTTCGTCCCCCTGCTGTGCGATTAGACACGGTCAGCAGTAACCACAGCCTGGGAAATGCCTGCTGGTGGGCAATGACTCCCCCACGACGACCTGCACCTGGGGCCTGGAGCCAGGCCCTCTGGGAGCCACATGGGTGGAAGGTGGGAGTGTAGGTTGCAGCGTCAGCCCAGGCTGAGCTCCCACCCATGTCCACTGAGCCTGGGACAAGTGGCTCTAGGCCTTCCTGCCTTTTATCCATATTTACTGCATTGGATATACCGATAGCTACAGGAAGGTTCAGAAGATCAGATGAGGGTCTGAACGCCAAGGCCATCCTCGGCCAGCACACAGTAGGGCAATAATGATGGGCTCTTTCCTTCCTCCTATATCCCTCACAAATTCTGTCGAGCACCTACTCTGGGCCTGGTGCTGTTCTCCAACCTAGGGACACATTGGTCAACTGAGCAGGCAAGTCCTGCCTGAGAGCCAGTGTTCCAGCTCATGTTTGTGCCAGAAGCAAGTGCCATCGGGTGGGCAAGCAGGTCCCAGTGCTGCCAAGAACTTGCCTGGTCATGAGGGACCGACTGGCACCGTGTGGCAGAGAATGTGAACCCTCCCAGCCAGAGGGCAGCTGCCACGTGTCCTCATCAATGGGCAGGGTGAGGAGGGCCTGAGTCCCTGGCTGGGCCTCACGACGCCCTGCAGGGGCGGGCAGGTGTTCTCCTGTGGGAGTTGGGGGAGCCGAGAACAAAAACAGGGATTTGCCCAACGCTGTGGAAATTGAGGGCTCCGGGCCAAACCCCAGCACAGATGAGGCTCCAAGGCTTCCCATACCAGGTGCCCAGAAAGGTCTCTGTGCCCCCTGTGTGTGCACAGCACACGCCCCGTGGTCCTGGTGACACTGAAGCAGGGCAGGGCCACTCACACAGGCGGTGCTGCCTTGGGAGGCCCCTCTTAATGGCTCCTACCCCCTCAGGCTCCTGCTGTCCCGATCCTGACCTGTGACTGGAGGACCAGGCATCAGGAGTGGGTGCTGCCTCTGGGGCATGGAGCGATTTGTGAGAACCAGGGTGGGAGAGGAAGGAAGTTCACCCTGCAGCTAGAAAGCCATCCATGTCTGATCTCCACGGTGCAAATCTTCCAGCAATTTCTAAGCCCACATTTGAGCCACAGGCAGTCGCCCCTGGTGGCCATGACTGGCTGGTGGAAGCCCCAGGGCCCACTGTGACAGAAAATCCAAGCCCTCGGGTGGCAGTGCACATCCCCTTGGCATCCTCTTCACCATGAACCCCACCCCCATGGGGAACATCTTTGTTTGGGGTTTTCTTCTTCCTTCTGAAAAGAAAATGCCAGAAACAATTCTGTTGAGGTCAGAGTTCTTTGGAGTTGAACCAGAATGGAGGCTCAGATGTACCTGGTTTGCACTGTGTGCAGCCTCTAGCCTGCTCGCCCCTTCTGGAGGAGCTATTTAGGGGCCTGGCCCTGCCCCTACAGAGCCCTGGCCAGGTCAGGGGGCCACAGCCATGAATGTGACCTTCAAACACCCCAGCACTAGGTGCCTACCAGGGCATCTGGCTGGGGTAAAAGGGACCCAGCCTCTTCTCACAGTTTCTTCCTGCCATGGGCAGGCTGTGGTCAGGCCAGCACCATGTTAAATAGCCCACATGTATTTTTGCCAAACGGGTCCCACGGCCCCTTTCGCAAATGTCGCCAGCTGTGTCCCTGGGAGAAATCCCCATTGCTCACGTAAACAGAAGCATGTGCTTCCCAGGGAGGCCGGCAGCGTGCTCCAGCTCCCTGACCACCAGCAAGAGAAATCTCCATGGACTTGGAAGAATATATTTTGAGTCTTTGCGTGCGGGTGAGCAGAGCCCAGAAGTAAATCTGGGTCTGTAATGGGAAAAGACAGGCTCTTCCACATGCAGGCCAGCAGCTGGCCTCTCTCCTGACGCAGGACTGCCCTGAGTGTCCACCTGCACCTGAGTCACCAGGGCCAGGGGGATGCCACTTCTTAGGTCTTGGTGCCCTTTGTAGCTCCCCGGGGGCTGGAGAAGCGTTTTGAAGCTTCTTGGCTAAAGGAGCCTGTGTTCTGAAGCAGGTCTCAGTGGCCTCGTGTCAGGAAGGAGCGATCCTGAGGGAGAGCAAGGGCACCCCGTTGTCCTGACCTCTTTGCCAATGAGGAGCTAGACCAAGACTGCTCAGAGCACCAGGGGTCTCTTATTGTCCCATCTGCAGATGAGGAAAGGGGGCCCAGAGAGGTTAAGTCACTTGCCGTAAACCACACAGGGGCAGGGCAGGATTCCAGCCCAGACTCCCAGGCCCAGGCCTTAAGCACGTGGCCTCTGCCAATACCCATGCGGCCTGCACCCCAAGGGCCACAGAAGAATCTGGCCTCCTCTCACCCAAGTCTCTGGAGTTGCTTTCTCTAGCCCAGGCTGAGATGTGATGGTTCCCAGATAGAACCCAACCCCTGCCCGATGACCTATAGCCCCAGGCCTCGCTCCCAATGGGGGATGCCCCACTCCAGACACATCCCTGAGTCTTGGCCCTGGCCCATCTGGAGCTGCTGTCTCCTGGTCCAGCAGCTCCCAGCCTGGCCCCTGCACAAAGCCCCACAGGCCCCTGCAGGATGAGGGCAGCGGGCAAAAGGGTGGCCCCAAACCCATGTCAACCTGCACCACGCAAACGTGACCTTGTTTGGAAGAAGGGTCTTTGCAGAGGGAATTAAGTTAAACACTTCTGGATGAGATCATCCTGGATTTAGGGTGGGCCATAAATCCAATGGGAGAGAAAGGCAGAGGGAGATTTGAGACACAGAGGGAGGCGGCCACGTGGGCTCCCGAGCAGGGATTGCCCCTGGGGGCCCCAGAAACGGAGGAGACAAAGGAGGACCCTCCCCTAGGGCCATGGAGGGAGCTTGGCCCCGCTGACACTTTGATTTTGGAGAACAACACTCTGTTGTGTGTGGTCTTCGTTAGTGTGGTAGGACTCACCTCACAGTCTTGTTTTGTTACGACACTTAAATGAACTATAATTCATAAAATGCCCAAAGCAGGCCTGGCGCATATTCACTAGTAAGCACTCGGCAGATATTAGCCTCTGTCAAAGTTACTATTATTGTTACTGCACACCGCCCTTCATTCACTCATCTAATAACGTGTGTAGCACGGTGACCATGAGTCTCACTGTTGCGTTCACTAAGTGACCATGGGCAGGCTCAGGAGGAAGGCTGAGGGAGGATTCATCCCCAAGAAGCAGGATGTGGAATGAGGCATCAGGTGGGTGCCCCTTCCTTGGGCAGGACAAGTGGTGGGTCACCTGAAGGCAGCAGGCCCCAGCCCTAACTCTTTCTGCCAGGCCTGGGAGCTCTGCCCACGCACCTGGGCTGGCTTCACCTGGGTTCTTGAGAACGTTGGCTTCGTGGGCTTCAGCAAGGTCCTTGCTGGGGACGTTTATCTGACCCTCTTCTGCCTTTGTTTTCTTAAAGGATATCCCTTAGTGGTGTTGGCTTCCCAGCTTTTGCTTCTACAACCTACCATGAACCTAGGCGCGTGTGTTACACACTCAGCCTGCTCTTGGCATGACGTCAGGCCCTGAATCTGTACCCTGAGCAGCTGGACCCAGTCTCAGCTGGCCCTCTTCCTCCTGGTAACCTGGTTCCTTTTTGCCAAGACTTCCAATCAGTTCCTTTAAATCTCAGAACTGTGGAAAGGAGAGGTTGATGGGGCCAGCCTGGAAGCCCTAGGGCGGCCTCCAAGCCCCGGGGGACCGAGGACCCCACTCCCCATAAGTCACCTCTGGCTCAAAGGAGTGTTGCATTTCTTTGCTTTTTGTTGTGGTCACATCAACACGTCAGTCAGCTGAGTTGTCTCAGGCGACGGGAAGTGGATTGATGTGTGTGGCTAGATGGGGAAATGGGTTGTGACTGTGTAGATACTACTGGCTTGATAAAAGGACATTCTGAAACTTGAAATCTGAGACGGATTAGGGAAAGCTAGAGATTTCAGGGCATCCTGGGTCTCATCCCTGTATGTGTGGGACCTGGGAGGCATCGTCTGTGTTGGAACGTGGCACCGCCCTGCTGGCTGCAAGGCTGTATAGGCTGCAGTGACTCGCTCTCTCTAAGCCTCGGTGTTCCCAGCTGTAAAGGGGGCCATTAGCGGTGCCTTTCTCATGGAGCTGCTCCTGAAGGCTGGTGGAACCTGTTTTTTCAGCTCATGCCACCTCCTTGCCAGCCAGCACTCAGTGACCCTGGCTGTTTCGTGTGATCATTCAGCACCATTAAGAAGTGACTTGTCTAAGCTCTCGGCAGGACCTGCCCACTTGTGTTACGATAAAGGTGGTGTGGATGAAGGGAATCTGGGGCATAGGCCAGGGACAGGCAGAGGAGTGACCCAGAGGGGAACATCTTCAACCATCATGTCCTTGCCCCTGCTTAGAGACGCAAAAGGCCCCAAGGCCTCCCAGATTGAAGCTGAGGGATTTGGTCTTCTTTTGTGACCCAGGCTGCTTTGGGGACCCTCTGAAAACTTCCCATGTATTTTGGAGTCTGCACCCACTGGCACCTCTCTCTAGGCCCTTATGTTTCTTAAACATCCCTGTGTGACCTGGCCTCGTGCCACCATCTGCAAGGAGGGATTCTAGCAGCACCTTGCAGTGTTGTCAGGGTGGAGCAGGGCTGCCAGTCAACACAGCCATGTGCAGATAGCGGGATAGACCACAGTGCATCTGAAGGTGAAGTGATCTTCTGCAAGCATCCGCCCACCCTGACAGGGAACTTCCCTTTTCTTTCTAGACGAAAATCCATGGACTTGGGTTTGTGAAGATCCATGCCCCTTGGAACGTGCTGTGCAGAGAGGCTGAGTTTCTGAAGCTGAAGATGCCAACAAAGAAGGTGGGTGGTGATGGTTCCACGCCAAGACAGAGCACCACGTCTGGGGATCACACAGATGCTCAGCCGTAAAATGGTATCACCGCCAGACTCTGCTCATTAAGAGAAGCTGAGTGGGCTTCAGTCCCATCCCTCCAGGGCAGTATGGCTCGGATGTGACAGGCCCTCTGGGCTCCAGTGTCCTGACTGTGGAGAATGCGACCCAGCCTGGTGGTCTGTAGAGACCCCAGACAAAGCCCACCAAGAAATGGTTGCAAGCAGAAGAGCCCGCCTCTCAGCCGAAGGAGTTTAGCCCAAATACAAATACAGTTGAACTTCAGGAGCGGGTTCTTTTATGCTTGTGGCATCTTGGCTAATTTATTAGATTCATTTTAATGCCATTTCCGAGCTTGCCGGGATTTTTCTTTTTAATCTCTGAAAATGTCACAGCTACAGTGCAGTTTGACGGCATGTCCCCTGCAGCTTAGTGAGGCATTGCCTTTGCTTCTGCATGTGGGTGGGACAGAGCTGAGCTCTCAGCTTCTCACCTCTTTGTAAACAAAAGCAAAGTTTGGGGGAAAATTCCCTGGAATGTACTAAATTGTACTTTTGGCTGGGCTATCCTAAAACTCTGAGCATTCAGGCTTAATCCAGAAAATGAACAGGGTATTTGCCCCCCCATCCCCCGGCTCACTGTTCCCAGGATGTGCCATCCCAGTGGAGTGGGATCATTCTCGGACAGTCCAAGAATAGATCTCGAGAGTCGCGACTCTGCAGGGTGACGTGGATCCCCCAATCCCGGTCTTGTCCACAGATGTATCACATTAATGAAACCCATGGCATCCTGAAAAAAATCAACTCTGTGCTCCAGAAAATCACAGACCCCATCCAGCCCAAAGTGGCTGAGCACAGACCCCAGACCATGAAGAGACTCTTCTACCCTTTCTCCCGGGAGAAACAGCATCTGTAAGTGGGGACCCCCCTCTCCCTAAAGGGTTCTGCTCTGTGGAGACTTCACCCTCTAGTGTGAGAAACACAAAGCCCCCAGAGGAGAGCTTTCAGGCTTGACCCAGAAGCTGAGTGTGGAGGGGTATTCTGGCCCCACCTGGGCCCACTGTTCCCAGGAGGTGCCATCCCAGTGGGGCAGGATCATTCTCCAACAGTCAGAATAGATCCCGAGAGCTCTTCTCTTTTAAGAGTTTTGTAGCTTTGTAGCTGTGGAGCCCAGAGGAGGCCACGGAAGTGATTTCTGAGGTCACTGCTAATTGGGAAACTGGTGGGTTGGGGGCTCCTATTTTGTCCTACTTAGCATCCTCCTTTCTGCTCCATTCTCTCGGGGGCCTGGTTGGCCACACCTCCTGCAGCCCTCGGGAACCTCATTCCCAAAGGCAGAAACAGAAAAGCAGCCCTAGGCGGGAATCCTGAGGCCCCAGAGACTCCCAGCCAGCAGGGTTGCCTGGCAGGGCCAAGCCTGTTCTGGAACCTTCCCTCCTCCTCTGCTCCTGGGGGGCAGTGGGGCATAGCCACCTGGTACGTTGGCGGCTAGAAGGGCCTCTCTGGGCAGAGCTGGAGCGTGGGCAGAGGTGGAGTTAGAAGCTTGGGTGCTGGGAGCCCAGAGGGACTTTGGATGGAGAGCTAGGGGTGGGGGGTCCTGGACAGCACCAGCTTCAGAGGGTGGGGTTGGGGAGAGATGGGAGAAGATGCTGGGGCTCAGAGCTGGGCTTTCTGTCCTATGGATGTGACAGTCACTGAGAGGAACCACAAACTTCACCTATTGCCCATTCCTAACCCGGGAACCAGGCTGACATGTCACCCAGAGCAAAGAATGGGCCCTACCCCAGCCTCTTCCTCTGGGTCCAGAACAGGGGCTTGGGTGTGAGAGGGAGATGCCCTCTTTCCGGAACCCCAGGAGGCCTCCCCCACCTGTGCCCTGGGCCACCTCTCTCCCTCAGCTCCCTGAGAAGTAGCAGGTGAATTCCCTGGGTATCCCTCTGCCCTCAGGAAGCCGTAGGCAATCCCCATGCAGCACAAGACATCAGGACCCAAACCATTTGGAAGTTGTAGGGAGATTGTTTGCAAGATTCCAGTGGTGGTGGAAGGACACTGTCCCTTTCCCCAGCAGTGGTGAAGCTTCAGGACCTCTGCAGTGGATGTCATACAAAGGAACGAGAGGTCTTCAGGGAGGGCCCTCTGATCACACTCACCTCTGTGGTCACTTCCCAGCCGTGAGGGCCTCAGAGCCTCACCCAGTGGGGAGGGGCACAGAAGCACCATGTTCCAAGTGCTTGGGGTGGGCAGGTCATGCCCAGTGTGCAGACAGGACCTGTCCATTTCCTGGTCGCCACTAATGGGGACAGCGTGGTTTCCCACGGCCTTGAAGCCCAGAGGACTGCTCCACTGAACCGCGTCTCATTTCCTTCCCAATATTTCAACAGATTTGACCTGTCTGATAAGGATTCCTTTTTCGACAGCAAAACCCGGAGCACAATCGTAAGTATCTCTCACAGGTGGGGACCGCTCTCCAGCATGGTGGCCCTGGGGAAGCACATGATAATTTCATTTCAGTGTAACTCCTTCCCGTGGAAGCAGGCTCTAATTGTCTGTGACCAAAATAATTAGAATAATGACAGGAGAGGACAGCCAGGGGCCCAAAGGGTGGCCACGGCCCCCCTGGCTCAGAGGCGGGGGAATGAGAGGGAGCAGTGGGAAGGGGGGCAGGGAGTGCTTAACGGACACGCAGATTCCTGCGCCCCAGCCAGTCTCGCAGCCTCCTTGCCACTTGTTCTTGGTGGTTTATGCCTGCCCAACTGTCAGGGCCCAGGCTGGGGGTTTCTGAGCAAGCAGACAGGGACGGGGGGCACACAGTGGTGGAGGTGAAGGCGTGGGGGGTGGGGGGGCAGGATAGATTTCCATGCCTTTGCCAGGCAGCAAACTGAGGTTTGAAATCTGACCAGGCCGCCCTGCCCTGTCCAAGGTATTGGCTTGGTGTTTATCTATCAGCCGCCAACCTGTCAGCCGGCCAAGGCGGCTGTGCACGACTCAGGACCCAATTTCTATCTAAACAAGAAGTTAACCTTGCAGCCAAGCCGTTGCTGTTGTTCCCTCTTCTCTGCCCAGAAAGCCCAGCCTGGCGGGTAGAGATGGAGGGCCGAGACAAGGCAGCCTCAACTTTGTTCAGAGAACTGCCCGGTTGCCACCAAACCGGGATGGGCAGGCAGCCAGCTGTGGGTCAGTGGTTTAGGTCACATTGACACAGGGGGGTTTGAGCTGCTGCTGGGCCAGGCAGATCCAGGTCCCATCTGCCCTCTGTCCCTCCCCAGTCTTGTGACTTCAGCAAAGTCACAGAGCCTGTGTCAAAACAAGCCCGATTTTGGCTTACTCCTAAGGGCAGCCGTGTGCTTCCATCCAGACAGCCGTGTGGGCGCAGAGCTGGGCACGGTTGTCCGTGGTATTACTGACTAACTTTAGCAATTAGATAACAATTAGGTATCAAGGAGGAACCAGCCCAAGCTAAATGTCAGTCCCCCAGTGGGGAGCTCAGGGCCAAAGTGTGTCTGTACGAGGCGTCTCCTTGTTCTCAGATGCCGGCTGCTGGGGGAACCAACACAGCATTAACCTGAGCGGTTCCCCTTTTCCTACATCATTATGGCATAAAAGAAAACTGGAATGGCCAACTGGGTAAACTGAGTCACCGGCCCACGTTTCAGTATTCATGTGCACCCTGACTTTTTACACTCTCTGGGGCTGCCAACGTCCTCCCAGAAGCACAGGTACAGGGTGACTCACAGCCGAGGTAAAACGTGCTAATTCTCGTGATGCTGGGGACCTGCTATGAAAGTGAGTGTAGTCTCTGATCCCTGGGGTAATGGCCGCATTACCCCCTAGCCACAGAAAACATCCTTCCTAGGCTGTCAGTGTTCACCAATTGGCCTGTGACTCCATTTACCTCTGGGGAGGGGAGGGACACTCTCTTCCAAAAACCTGGGAGGCCAGTTTAATGAGCTCCAGAGAAATTCTTTGTTGGTGAGTCAGATCTAATGGTCTTCCCAACCCAGGATCAGATCTAATGGTCTTCCCAACCCAATAGCATTCAAAGTTGGGTGAGTCATTGTAGGCAAAGGTGTGGAGGAGGGACAGCCCCTCCCCTACCACCCCTCCACACCGGCCACTCTGCTCCTGGCTTTGGGTGGACATTCTGTAAGTGGTAGGAAGGGAGACCTGCAGTATCCCCTGGGAAAGAGTCCAGTGTGTTGATCTTGGGTCTTAGGCCTTCAGCATGTAGGCACTTAGGAGCCATAGAAGGTTGTAGAGCAAGGTTTAGCATGGCCAGATCTGTTCTGGAACCATCACTCTCCGTGAGTTGGCAGAGGGCAGATGAAGGATGTGAGGTCATAGTGGTGCTTGGGGGGCAAACTGCCCTTGCGGAGAGGGAGAGATGGTTACGGCAGAATCAGCAAGGTCAGGGTGAGGTCTGGACTTACTAAATTTGAGGGATGACAGGGAGGAAATTGTCGAGAGCAACAGAGTGGGTGGTGCATTCCTCCATTCAGCAGGTGTTTACTGGGCACCTGGTGTGTGCCTGAGCCTGGCAGGAGAGGAGAGGCAGGGAGCACATTTGATAATATGGCAGGTAGTGAAAAGCCAGCGGGGTTAGGAGACAGGGCAACACAGCAACTTTATGGGCCTCTTTGTTAAGGTGACCCTGAATCTGTTCATATGTGAAGGGGACGACTACTTCCCAATGAGGGGACAGCCAGGGCAGAGGCTCTGAGGCTGCAGGAGTGGGTTCAGAAAGTGAGATGAGCAGCTGACTTTTGGGGACAGCTGGGTCAGGTGGAAACAGAGGCATGAGGTCAGACGGTGGCAGGACCAGATGGGCCCTTGGAATGATACTCATCTTACTTGAGAGAGTGGGAGCAGTCCATGTGTTCTGAAGTGCGTGTCTGTGTTAACTCATCCCAATTTATAGATGAGGAAACTGAGGCACAGATAGTGATGTAATTTGCACAAAATCAGGCAGCTACACATGGTAGAGCTAACACTCAGATCCAGACTCTTGAGCCGGAGCTCCTGGGGCCACCAAGCAAAATGTTTTATTACTTGAGGGAACACAGGACAGAGGTAGGATCCCTTCAGGGGGGCTCTGCCCCAGGACTGTGCAAGCAGAGCCTGGCGCCAGGCTGACTCAGTGCAAAATGGAACCCCAAGACCTGCCTCAGCCCCTCCCAGCCCCTCCCTGAGGTTTCCAGAAGGCTCAGAGGTATGTCCAGGAGTGGCCCTGTTCCAGCTCATCCCTCAGCAAAGAGGGACAGTAACCCCCCTGTGAGGGTACATGGGACAACTGTTATTCTGAACACCAACACAACTCCCGGGGGACACGTCCATGCTTTGCCGAGGCTGGCCATCATCACTCCCACTTCAGGGGGGCAGATGATGGGAACCTCTAGGTTACACTTATGTGTCCCCCAGAACCTCAGTTCCCTTAGTAAAGTTCACTGTCTCTCCTTGGAAAACAGTTCCAAGGAGGTTGTCGTTGCTAACGTTTGGCCAGTTCCTTCCCGGCAGGGACAGGCATTCTCTGCTTGCGGGAGGTGCCGAGAGTGACTGCTCACCCCTCCTTCCTGTCTCTCTGCCATAGGTCTATGAAATTCTGAAAAGAACGACATGTACCAAAGCCAAGTACAGCATGGGTAAGGACATTTTTGGGGCTTGAGATCAGCATTGGTTTCCAAGTGGGAATCTCGCCTCCGAATCGTCTCTGTGGGAGGTGGGCGGCCAGTTTGGGGCTTTTAAGAGGGCTTTGATTTAAGGCTGTGTAACAGTTTTGGACGGGAGGGCTGGGCAGCTGTGGGGAGGGCTGGTCCAGGCACCAGGCAGTTTTATGGGCCAGCACTTGGAACACAAAGGTATCGTTCACTTTGGCTTGAGGTGTCTGTAAGGATCCAGAGGGGCTCCTGCTGCTGGGAGTTGGGGGGTGGGGAGGGTAAGTCCAGATGGAATGGATCCCCAACCCTCACAGTCCAGCAGGAATAGCCAGAGGTCCCGGGGGTAAGCCCATGCAACAGCTATTGTAGACCCCCAGTAACAGCAATCCCTGGCCAGGTGCCCACAGCTGGAGTGGAAGGGCCCCCCACCCAGGGGCTGATGCAGCCCTCCTCAGGGATTTTTTGGTTTTTTGAGGCAGAGACTCACTCTGTTGTCCCAGGCTAGAGTGCTGTGGCATCAGCCTAACTCACAGCAACTGCAAATTCCTGGCTCAAGTGATCTTCCTGCCTCAGCCTCCCATGTAGCTAGGACTACAGGTGCCTGCCACAGTGCCCACCTGATTTTTTTTTCTATTTTTAGTAAACATGGGGTCTTACTCTTGCTCAGGCTGGTCTCGGACCTCTGAGTTCAAGGTATCCTCCTGTCTTATCCTCCCAAAGTGCTAGGATTACAGATAGGAGTCATCGTGCCCGACCCCCCCTCCAACCAGGGCTTGCTGAATGTCATGCCTCTGACCTGGCACCATAGTGCACTGATGGCCTGACTCCAGGTGGTGCCACAAAACCACCCAACAGGGCTCCTTGGGGACCATCTCCCATAACACCTTATGCCACAGATACAAACTTTTCCCCATTAACTCATGTAGGTGGGAGTCATCCCACAGTGGGTCCCTTGCCCCCAACTGCAGGCTGAGTTTGTTGAAGTCAAAACACAGCAGCATGAAAGAAATACCGTTCTCCCCCCTTCCTCTGGAGCCATCATGTGCCCTGCTGAGGACTGCTAACTTGGTCACAATGCAGGTTCCTCTGCAATGACCAGGCTGTGGGCCCGGGGGACAGGGCCGGGTGAGGGGTGAGAGCTGTGTCTCCAAGAGAAGTAACACAGAGAGGGGGCCCAGCCCCTGAGTTCTTGGGGACAGGCCCAGGGCACAGAAAGACAAGGCAGACCACTGGGCCTCTAACTAGGAGGGCTCATGGTCAGCCACAAGGACACCTGTCCAGGCCTGAAGTCTGTAAGCCCATGTCCGAAATCAGGGGGAGTGGTGGGGGAGCCCCCCAGGGGTCAAGAGGAGTGCAGGGAAACCACCCCCAAGCTGCCCAGCCCCCAGCAGACCGAGAACCTCCGAAGTGCCACGCCCTGATCAGAATAACTGTAATGAAGTGACACTGTTGTCGTTGTCAGGAGTTTGGGGTTTTGAAAGTACTTCTTTAGGTCACTGTTGCCAGGACAAAGCCCCCCAAAGGTCACTAGAGGTAGACAGGAAGCATGGTTCTAGTCCCAGGCTGGGTGTCGGGCCTCAGTTTCCCCACTGGGTCCCTGTGGCAGAAACAGTTTCTACAGTTTCTGGTAGAAACCTGCGTGGTTGCCGTGAGGGTTCGCGGAGCCCAGGGTCTGGGAGAGGTTTGGCCTGAGCCAAGTCCCTGCTCCAGGTCACCGCTTGGGATGGGAGGTCTCTGTGTTCCCCCCAGTTTCCGGCAAGGCTGGTTGACAGCATCTGGCACTGGAGCAGATAGACAGGGGTCCTGCTCTCTACCCTGCCTCTCCCAGCACCTCATCGGACAGCTCTCCTGACCCAGATTCATTCCTTCAACTCTCAGCAAGTAGGCTCTGTCCCAGTCCCGGAGCTCCCTGCCCTCAGGGATTTATACTCTAGGGGAGGGGAGATCATAAATAAACACGTAAATCAGATCCCAGTCATGCTGGCTGACGATGGAGGGGCAGGCTGGGTGCAGGAACGGTGTTGAGGGAAGGCCTTTCTGATGAGGTGACATCTGAGCAGAGCCTTGAAGACAGTGAGGGGAGCCTCACAGATGGAGGAGCAGGCTGGGGTGCAGGAACGGCGTTGAGGGAAGGCCTTTCTGATGAGGTGACATCTGAGCAGAGCCTTGAAGACAGTGAGGGGAGCCTCACAGATGGAGGCAGCCGCCTGAGCAAAGGCCCGGTGGCAGCCCTGTTGGGAGCGTTACAGGAGCAGCCAGGAGGCCAGCCGGCCTGGATCCACCCCCAAGGCTGTTCTGTGTTACAAGCCAACCTTTCCCTCGTGGGGGAACTTTTCCCTTGTGTGTGTAGCTTCAACCACACAACCCCAACTTCCTCTGGCTTTGACTTCTAAGCATCCCAGGGATCCCCTGACCACTCCAGATCACTGATGGTCTATTTTAAGGAGATTTTAGGTCATTTTCCCATGAGTGTCAATGGGCTCTCAGAAGGTGGGCCACCCTGGCCACTGAAAACTCAGCTCCCCTCACCACCGAGAAGCCTCCTCAGCCAGGCAGGATATTGTGTGAGCAGCAGAGGTTTTCATGGAACTTCTTCAGCAGTGCTGGGTCCCCAGGATGTGCCTGGAGCCAAATCAGATTCCTAGGAGCCCCCTTCCCCATACTCGGCCCCAGCCCTCCCTTCCTCTCTTGCAGCCTCCTGGGGCTGGGTGCCCACGTTTGCACCTGTGAGGAGGTGCACGTGTGGCGTATTTACCGTGTGCCCAGTGCAGGCCCTGTGGCCAGCAGAAAAGGGGCCACCATCATCCCCCTGTCCCCAGGAGCACTGGATGGCTGTGAGCCTCCCATGGCCACAGCACGTTCTCCCCCATGTAGCTTTGATCCTTTCAGGCCCTTCCAGGTAACTAATAGCTGATGTATAAACAGGGCAAGGCGAGGGAAGGAAGAAGGACTCCGCCCTTCTAAGTAAAAGGCGGAAGTGTGGGCAGTACGGTAAGTGTGGGCCTCCCCCGGCTCTCCCAATCAACCTAAAATCTAATTCCAAATTGTATGTGTGTTCTCTGACACCATCAATTTTTCCATCCATATGTTTTCTCATGATTCAGCTTTTCTAACCACTTAAAATCCACCTTTCTGATCTGCAGGCTTGCCCTCGAGCAGGTGGGGGTAGCTGGAGAGTCGGAGGTTTGGGGGTGACGACAGAGTGACATCACAGGCCACTTGCGCCTCCCTCCTCTGAGACGAAACTTCCTCTTGGGGTTTCCTCTGTGTCTTCCTAATTCTGCCAATCGAGCATGTTTTTATCATCTCCTAGTCCGTAGATAAATAACCCAGCTGCATCACACCTGGGGAGGTAGTCCCAGAAAGGCGGCCGGGCTCCGTGCAGCCAGGTTCGTTTGGCTTTGAGAAGCTCTTGGTGGCTGAAACCACTCGGACTTCAAGAGGTGGGACAGCAGATCCACCTGGTCCCTAACTCTCTTTCTCTCTCTCTCTGCCTCTGTTTTTTAAGGCATCACGAGCCTGCTGGCCAATGGTGTGTACTCTGCTGCTTACCCGCTGCACGATGTAAGTAACCTTGACACACAGTTTATCTCCATGTCATTTGGTTCCTCAAATCCCAGGGAGCGCTAATTATCCTGTGGTCACTGCTTCCTGCTTGGCTCTCACTGTAAATGTCAACCATACACAGGCCTTCCCTGTTCCCTCTCATGAGTCCTTCCCAGAGAACTCACACACAGGGCCCTCTCTTCTTGCAGAACAATCTCACTGAGAAGGGGGCATTTGTGGCAGGCGCTCTGCTCTGGCTTTATCTGAACCTCACAGCCAGCTGGTCCACAAAATGTTTTCCTTGGCTCAGGCTCCCCCACCCCCGGCCGCCCCAGGCCCTGGCAGGGTGACAGCCCTCTGTATGCATCTATTTCTGCAGAGCAAGTGAGTGGCCAGCTTCCTGAGCAGAATCTCCAAATCCCACTGGTATCTCCCTGACAAACATAGCCTGTGGCCACGGCTGTGCATTGGCTTGGGGCAGAGGAGAGAGATGATAGTCTTCGGATTGTCTCTATGGAAACAGAGGCCCAAGTTCAACAGGGCACCAAGAGTGGGCCGTGGGGCCTGAGCAGTGTGGGAACCCTGGGCAGAGGATGTCTAGAACTTTCCAAATGTGCATTACTGCAAAGACTAGGAGCCAAGACACAGGAGGGAGAGAGGGGAAGGGCCTGGGAGTCCAGACGCCCACATTCCAATCCCAGCCACTCTCTCTTGCTGGCCTTGGGCAAAGTCTTCTCGCTGAGCCTCAGTGTCCCCATGTGTGGGTCAGGAATAATGAGTTGCCCTGTGTAATTGCCAGGCTAGCGGGTGTGTGAGAAGGAATACAGGTAGGAAAGGAAGAGATGCTGGCTTAGACAAGCACAGGGTACCCAAGTAGCACGGGGTGGCCCAGCCAGAGGATAGTCCAGGGGAGGCTCCTCCAAACCAGGATGCTAGAGGAATGATGCTCACTGGTCGCTGCCCTCACCTCCCCTGCAGAGCCCCCTCCTGATAGGGCCACGGACCTGGGCCCAACCCACCCCAGTCTCACTTTGCACCTCCGCTCCTGCCGCTCCTTGGCTGCCGTGCTCTTCCCTCACTGCCCCTCCGCACAGGCAGCAGAAGCATCCACACCATTCCTGTTCTCTGCATCCCGGGTGCAGTTGCTCTCTTCCACCCTCCTCTGGGCTTCTGATGCTCTCTGTCCTACCAGGACACCACCGTCCGGCCACCTTGTGCTGTGTGTGTCGTGTCCGAGAAGCCCTGGCACTGAATGCTTAGTAGGTGCTCAGTAAACATGGTGTAGATTTGGCTTGGATTTACTCAGGCTGCTTTGGCCGGTGACCTATTGTTGGGGAAGGTTTGGACAGCAGGGCTCAGGCCACTCGGGTCCTGGCCGTTGCTCATGGCCTCACTGGTCCACTGGTCAGGCTTTCTCTAGTCCAGTGATTTTCAACCAGTGTGCCGTGAGAGGATCGTAGGTGTGTTGTGAAAATTTTTAAAGATCATTAATTAAATTATTTTCGAAGGAAGTGCAAAGCACAGTAAGTATATTCTTTTTTTTTAACTCTCTCTCTTTTTTTTTTTTTGATCAACATAATTTAAGTGTGCCGCAGAAGTTTAACTAGAGATTCGAGTGTGTCGTGAGATAAAAAAGGTTGAAAAACAGAGCTGTAGTGGTTCTAGCTGGTTTCATCGTTCAGCCCCACTGTGCACTGGCCCCAGCTAGGTGCTGGGAATTCAGCCCTGCCCCTGCCCCGCACCTTCAAGGGACAGCCTGGGTCCACATCCCAGTTCCTAGTTGGCCTTAAGCAGGCCATCCCTGCCGAGAAGGGTTGGACCCTGGAAGCCAAAAGGTTTCAGGGCCTCCCTGCCTGTTTTGAGTCAGCCTTAGGTCTCAAAAGGGAAAGGGAAGAATCAACATATCTGAGCCCCTTCTGTGTGCAGAACACTGTATTCAGTAGGAGTTTTGCCTTGTTTAATCCAGCACAGACTTGGGGACTCAGAGCAGTTTAGGGACTTGCCTGCGATCAGAGCTGGAGCCAAACCCAATCCTGGTTGACACTGTGTTGCTCTGGCCCCTTGCTCTCGCCTCTTCCTCTCCCAGAGGCCAAACGTGTCCCTCTTCTTGGTCTCCACAATCACCTTTCTTTTGGGAGTGGATTCTGTCAACAGTTTAAACCGGTACAAGACTCCCTGATCCATTGCATGTCCCAGGTCTGCATAGAAAAATCCCCATTCGTGATCATCCTTGTGTCTTACACAGCCAGAGGGACGCCTGCGGTGCAGGCGGGATCTGTCCCCACTTTCAAGATTGGAGAAATGAGGTTTGAGGTGCTCAGGCAACTAGCACAGGGGCACCCAGCCCAGGTGTGGCGCCCAGAGCCTCTGGCTTGGGGCTTAGGGCAGACTTTAGGAAACATGGAATTTTACATCCATGAATTTTCTATGCAGCTGGAGGGCACCCGCTCTGTGAAGCGCCAAAGTTGATGGGTAAACATTTGGGGAGACAGCATTTTAAACTGGGTCTTGTGTGCCCGGGGCAGGCCCTGCGGGGCTGGTGGCCACCTGCTGTGTCCTGCTTTGTGCCCTGTGGGGCTGATGGCCACCTGCTGTGTCCTGCTTTGTGCTTCCTCCATCCGTTATCTTGCCACTGCTGCTGCCTTCTGTGCGTGGCCCGAACCTCCCCAGCTCCTTCTTATCCTGTGGTTCCTACGTGCATTCATTCATCAGGAATATCTGGCAGGCCAGGTGCTGGGCACAGCCTGATGGGATCATGCCCAGAGTGAGAGTTGAAAGCTCTGGGTGGGACCCCAAGGAAGCCTCCTGTGATGAGAGCATAGCAGCTCTGCAGAAAGGACTTTGACATTTATGTTGGCTGCTTGGGTGGCTTTTTGGCCACTTTCTTGGTCGACCTGTGCCCACCCGAGATGGCCCAGCAAGTGGAACTCTGTCTGAAGAGATGCTGCTTGAACTGTGTCGAAAGAAACAGCAGAGTCACTAAAAGGAGTCAGGCTTGATGAAGACCGGAGGAAATGTATCAAGTTGCTCTCAGAGGTGGCCGGGCATTGCCTGCCTGGCAGGGGAGCCAAGGGCTGGCAAGGGGTCCTGGAAGCTGCAGGGAGTGGAGAGGGCACCAGGCAGACCTCAAGGAGGCCCAGAGCTTTGTCTGCCTGGTGAGTCCTAAGACCCCACACCCCAGGCCTCGGCAGAGTCTCTTCCTTGTTACTCCTCAAAACCATTGATATTTTGAGCTAACTTTCAACTTTTAGAGCCTTCTTCTTTTCCTTTGGGTTTAGAAGTCTGCATCAGGTCCCAGGTCTGACCAAACTTAGCTGTACATCCTCAGGAAAGTCAGTGTGGTTTTCTGAGCCTTGGTGTTTCCACCTGGAAAGTGGGAGCGTTGGGCTCACCAACCTCAATGTACAGTGACCGTGTAACTCATTGTCCCTCGTGGGGTGCTCCAGAGTGAAATGGGGGTACAACACTGGGACTGTCTGGCAGAGGGGACATATGTTCACAATTCATAGACACAGTTCTTCCTGTCCCCCTGCTGCTCTCTCTCATTTGTTCCCAATTCCAAGGACCTGACCATGGATCCTTTCCTGGAGCTGCCCTCTGTGCTCAGGGGGAAGATGGTGCAGGCAGCCCCCGGGGTGGGTGACAGGTGGTAGAGGGCCAGTGAGGTGTGCACAACACTTTTCATCAGAGGAGGAGGGACACCTGGGGGACTTTTCATGTTCTGCGTGAAATTGTGTCCCAGAATTACCATAATTTGTGTCAATGAGGGATGATGGAGTTCTGAAACGTTACACATTTGAGCTGCTCCCAGGTGCATTAGACAATACGAATTTCCCTTTTCTCTTTTTTAAACAGGGAGACTATGAAGGTGAAAACGTTGAGTTCAATGACAGAAAAGTAAGTTGATTCAGACGGGAGTGGAAGGTGGCACTGAGGGGCCGGGAGGGGGCTGGGGAAGGTGGTCATGCAGGGGTGCCTCAGGCTCACCCACCTTCAGGGCTGGCTGAGTGCTAGAGGTTTGGGGTGGCACTGCGTCCCCCTGTGTTTTTAGGAGAAAAGTCATGCAACTCTGGGTGCTGCTTTTCCTTTTTCTGATTCTCGGAAGCATTCCTGGCAGTTAGCTGTGAGCGTGAGACAGGAAGGGCCATCAGGCCTGGACCTGCCCCTTTCCCACTGTCCTTCCTGCAGGGAAACCTGAGCCACACCTGTGCCTCCAGCAGTCTTCCCTAGCCTTTGGCTGAATCCCACACAGCTCCCGGGCAAATAAATGCAGGAACCACGGTGACCAGGGGCACAGAGTCCCACGGAGCACATTAGGGAAACCCATGTGATGGCATACAAGGAAATGATTCTCAAACTCAGTTGACATGGAACCCTTCTTACTGGAGATGTTATTGAGCTGATGTGCCAGGGAGCACACTTTGGGAAACAATAAGTGATCCTGTCGCCTCTGGTGGCTGTTGCTAGCTCCCCCACACTCTGACCCCTCAGTCCCCACCCCCCGCACCAGGCAGAGGCTCTGGTTTCCTTCCACCCAGCTGCACCAAGAAGCTTTGCTGCCCCTCCATGCCCACCTGAGCTTCTCCCCACAGCCACGCCCTCCTCCCTCCACACACCCACACCCAGAACCAGCCTTCCTCCCCCACGGCTCCCACGTCAGCTGGAGGGGGCCTCTCTGGGCCCTGCCTATCCTGCCTCTGGCCCCACTGCCCACCCTTCTGCAGGTGGTAGGCGGAGTCACCTCCCTGACAGCCTCACAATGATGGCCTTGTCCCCAATCCCAGGGGCCAGGACCTCTGTGCATGGAATGTTCCTCATTTCAGCCTCCCTGCGGCCCCTCGTACATGTTTTTAAGTCTTTGGTACTTGATTCAACTTGCCTGCTGCTGGGAATCCAGCTGAAGATGCTATCTGATTTAGCACAAAAATTACTTATTTGGTTATTTTTAGTGTAACATCTGGCATTCATCTGAGACCCTGTGACTTGCACAACTCCCCTATCCCATCCTGTTGGAGAAGCACCATCCCCTCCATGGGCCTGCCCTGACCAGCCCTGGCCTCACAGTCTAGTCCCCTGTGTTCCCCAATCCCTGTGTGCCCCTCTGTCACTTGGCTGGCGCCCTTCCTCCCTCTGAAAATACTTCTTCCATGGACTCTAGCAAACCCCTTCCAGCTGAACTCGGTTCTCTGAGTCATGGGCCCCTCTGCCCTAAAACCCCCACCATGCTCCAGCCACAATGGTTGCCTTTCTGACCTCAAGACCGTTTGGCTGATGCCACATCAGTATCAGGACTGTCTCATCAGTAACTTATACAAAAAATATGTCTTGGGCATGCTGTGTGCCTGGCCCAGCAAACACAGCTCCAGGTCTGTCCAGGCCCAGCTATTTCTTCTATCTGGATTTCTGCTTTCTTATCTTTTAATTTTATGCCCTAGCAATGGGTACAAGGCCTCCATCCATGAAAGGGAGTCAGGGAGAATGACAGATGGATGGGGGAGTGATGGAGAATGGCTGGATAATGGATGGATGTGTGGATAGATTGTGGATAGGTAGGTGATGAAGGAATGGGTGGATAGTGGATGGGTAGGTGGGTGATAGAGGAATGGATGGTGGATGGGTGGTAGATGGATGAGTAGATGGATGGGTGATGGATGGATGAATGGATGGATAGGTATTAGATAGATGGATGGGTGATGGATGGATGAATGGATGCATAGGTATTAGATAGATGGATGGGTGGGTGGGTAGATGGATGAGTGGGTGTGTGGGTGATGGATGGATGAATGGATGGATAGGTATTAGATAGAT